ATCTCACGGTTCAATATTTTTTGATATAAAAAAAGAGAAATGCCCATGCCCTTTTTCCTTGTAATTTCTTAAAATTAATTATGAACATTTGTTTTAACTTCAAATGTACAGTTCTTAAATTAAATGTTGCTGAAACATCAAGTTTCTCAGTGGATCTGCGCTTGAAAATACAGCCTAGGTGGAGTAGTCGAACACAGATCCACTGATCCTTCAACACAGAGCATCTTCAGAAGACAAGCTGATAAAATAAATTTTAAAAGCTCTGTATGATTCGATACATAGTGTGTATTGAACTCAAAGCACTGTATTGAACGGTTTGATATGGGTACATGTATTGTTGCACTCCTAAATATATATATTTATATACATAAAATAGTGGGCAAGACAAAAGTTCCTGTGAGCCTAGAGTCTGACACATGCTCTATACTGTAAATTTTGTCTATATTACAACAGCAAGGGAAAAAAAAGGTTTCATTTCAAAATTGAGTTCACCTTAAACATGGAAAGCCAGAGAAGTTTGACAGTGGTACCCTTCTCTGGTTCACCCTCACTGCTGGAGCTCTCCRATGACAGGCTGCTTACAGACAGCTGCAAATCTCGCCGATGCATATGCCGCCGCTGGACGTCCCGTAGATCGTTCAGACTGCGGGAGGTGGTGATCGGCCGAGGACTCATTGCTCTTGTGTGTCGCAGTCGATAGCGTTGTGTTGCCACTCGACCGTAATATGAAAAAGTAAACGAGGGCTAAAGAGAGAAAAAAGCAGAGCAACAGTAACCTTGTTACGTGAACTTCTTAAACTATAATTTATTTATGAGTGTACAAGATAGTTTTATAAAATAACAACGAAAACTGTACTTGTCTGTACAAGGTAGGTGGGTGTGGCCGTGATGAAACTGAAGTGTTGGTTGTGCGATTTCCATGCTTGGTGGAGGTGTGGCCTTTTATTACATTTGTATGATTAGAGGAAGTCAGGCCGGYATTAATGCCTTTAGCAGTTTTGTCCTGCAGCGACAGAAAAGACAAAATAAAAACCATGAGACTGCAAAGTTCAATATCCACTGATCAAAACATTTATGGCACATGGTTCTACCTGTCTCTGATGTGCATCCACTGAGGCTGAGCTGGTCTGAGGGATACAAGGCTGACCATTTGTTGGGCCTTTAAGTTGAGGCAACACTGTTGCAGGCTCCAYGACCACTATCTCATTGCTAACTGAGGGCAAATCACCTGCAGGAGACGAGGACCCAACACTGTGGTCTGATGGCCTAAATGCATTCTCTAGATCTTCATGAGTCTCTGGTAAAAAGTGTTCAGCTGGCAAAAAAACTGGTCTGTCCAAGTCAAGGTCGGGGTCCAAGTCTATTGTAGCATCTGGCATGGCTAAAACTGAATCACTTTTACTTCGTACTTTCTCCACAGCAAGAAAATCCAGTTCTCTGTCCTCGAGATGGGCTTCTTTGTCATCTCGAGATGAGACATAAGCATCCTCCTCTGCAATTATGTCTAGAACGGGTGTGGTGTTCCCAACATGCCTTGAAGATGACTGACTGGACGACTCTTCGTCTTCTGTATCTTTAAGCCTGTTGGATGAAGCACAATGTCTCTCGGGGATGCTGAGCATGTGCAGTGTGACAGAAATAATGAAAACAACTCCCGCAAACAGGAAGAGGACCTGTTCTTGTGATTTGAACGCTCTGCCCAGGGCGGTGTCAGTCCAGTCAAGGCCTCCCAACATGTAACCCAACGCTCCTCCAAGCCCTGGAAACACAGATACAGCTATTATT